TGCAGCTACTTCTAATCGAAACAGCGAGAGTGTTATTGAATTCTTTATGGTTGGTTTACCTATTTTTGTTTTAAAAAATTGTGAGTTGATATTTTTAATTACCTTTATTCCTAAATCTAGCGCTCAGCTTTTCCACAGGAGACCGGCAACAATGCACAAGAACTACCCTTACCCACTTCAGATGTAGATGAAATGCCAAATATCGATGAATCCTCTGAGGCTGAAAATGCGACTGAATCAGCGGCTAATTCTAATTCCTTGTATCCCAAAGCATATCTTCCACTGAGCACAAAAGTTCTAATGAAGTCGGATCTACCCGAGTGTTCTAGCCCCGAAGAATGTGGCAAACATATGTCTAATATTAAAATGCCCTGGATAAAGCGTATGCTTTGTGGATGTTTTGTTTCTCGTGCCAAAACTAGACCCAAGACTTCATTTGTCGATGATCGTTTCAAACCTAAATGCATTCCTCCACACTCAGAGCTGACAGTTAAAAATATTCCTTCTTCGGCATTACTTGGCAATCTACCGTCTTCAGTTGAGTGTAATGTCCAGAATATTTCCATAGAGGATGGCAAGGAGCCAGTTATCAGTTGTTGGTCTTCTGACCATAAAAAACGCTCTTCAAAGCCCCACAAGAAAAGCTCAAACGTTAAGAACATCGACAAAGTGATCGGACCAAATCAGGAGATTGCTCCACGATTAGATAATGAACATACAGTATCTATTACAGATGATCTTTCTAGTGTGGATAAAAGCGCAACAGAGGACGTATCATCAACGCCTATTGCAAAAACTAACATGGTATCCTAAAATTGCTTTCATCATATATATGATTTAAGGATACTTACTAACTGCTTCTATTTATAATAATTTTGTTCCCATAAATGACCTGAGCCAGTTAAATTTAGTTGTTCTCCTAAGAGTATTTCATTTTTTTCCTTCATGAGATTGAATCACAGCTGTTTACTATTGTAAAGCATGATGCCGAGACTATATATAATGTTGGGAGATGCACCTCTAAGAAGCGAGTGAGCTGAGTATCAATCGTTATCAGTCTTGTTATTTTTACCAGTTATTGTTATTTTGTCGTTGTCTATCCATACAGATCCAAATGCTCTTTAAAATCCTTTTCATACTTATTGTTTTGTTGTTGGTCCACATTCCTCAATTTCAAATTTCAAATTATTTTTAATTTGCAATGTATATCTCATTTCACTGTTCATGCGGTGGGCTAACATTTTTATGCACAATACTGTGATCTATATTAACTTATTTGCATTGCCTTAATTATTTTTTTATTTTGGTCTTTCTCTTATTGCAAGTGTACATTAGCATATTTGCTTCGCTTTCTATTAAAGCATATTCTTCCTTGAATAGCAGACTTCTTAAGTCTGATTTCAAGTTTTCTTATACGTTACTCCACATTAAAAACATTTTTTTGCTGCTGATAACTACCTTGGATGCCTTAGCACTCTCGCCTTATGATTTCAGATCCTAGAAGTATAACTAAAAAAGACTGCAACCACACAAAAGGCCACACAATCTTGGTCTTCATACCTTTGATTAAAAATATTTTTATATTTTATTTACATAGTTTTTGTATTTTCTTATATTGGAATTTTTATTTCTAGCATCCGCTTTGTCTCCTTGGTCCTCCAAGCGATAAAGACAAGTTCAAAAAATGCTTCATCATTGACTTGGATGAGACCCTTGTACATAGCTCTTTTAAGGTAGACCATATATATTTAATTCCTAAAACAGATATTTGTTAAGTTTCTTGTTCCTTTTATATTATTAAACTAAATTCTATAAATATTTTAATTAGCAAAATTCTTGCATACGGGAACGCTGACTGTAAAGGGGCTTATCAATTGTTCATATAACTTTGCCTCTAATATATCCTAATATTTCACTGATACTAGGAGGCGATTGTCTTCACAAAATGAGCATAAACTGTTCATTTTACGTGCTTAGGCCTTTGTAAATCATGCTTGTCTCATTGCCTCCGGTTTAGCATCACTATACTAACGCGCACAAATTCAAATGTTGAAATTAGGATATGCATCTCACTCCCAAACCTCCTGCATCTGTTTATTTTCACTCGTAAGGGTTCCATAATGCCATCTGACTTATTGTTTGTAATCTTCAGGAGCCTATTATGGATCAGTGTATAATTCATATTCTAATTTTAGGGTTAATAATTAATTTAAATATCATTATTTAAATCAGGAAATCAATCCAAATTTCCCGGGCTAACTTAGACTTATTGATTAATTCCCAATGCTTTCGCCAATTTTATTTTCCTTATTATTTACCTGTTCTATTGCTAGAAAGCTAACCTTTCCTCACTATCCTCCTTACACAACTTCAAATACAGTCTTACTTAATCCCCTATAGCAGTGGTTTCCAAACTTTTCCAAGTCGTGGCGCCCTACCCTAAGTATGACTATTCGTAAAAGAAAAATAAATAAAACTCGTGTATCTTCATTATTTTTTTTTACTCCATTGACATTAAATTAATATTTAATAATTAATGTGATGGATGAGCCTGTAAATCGCTGCATATTTTCTAAAATTGAAGCCTTTACAATATTTCACAGCTCCTCGGGGCGCCACGGCGCACATTTTTGGAATCACTGCCTTATAGCAATACCTTGAGCTATATTTTTATATAAATGAATTTTGTAAGCCTTATGCATCCATTATTTTGTAAAGGATTCGGTTTATGCTTGGACTTGGATGCATTTTCAGTCTCCAAGAGGCATTTATAGTTTGACAAAGCCTATTACCACTTTTTGCAGTTTTAATTCCCCATCTAACGTGGGGCACTATTCCATAGCATCTTTAATAAAATCATGATTTAAAGCTATATTATTCACTTTTTCCATGCAGTTACGGACAGCTTTTTACTACTAGTTGATATACAGCTTTGCTCAAATGGATTCGAATGTACGCAAGCTATGACTACAACATTTTGAATATATTTGCTCTAGTCGTGTGGATCGCTGTCCTAGTGAAATGCGTTAAAGTCTTATAAACATTTGTCAGCTGGCCGATGATTGAATACATTTCTACATTTGGAAAAGCTTTGAACTCTATAACATATCTTTTTGTTATTGTCCCTTACGCTAGTGCATCCTCTTCCACTAAATACTACATTACGCCAAAATGCATTAGAATCTTCTAGGCTACCTATATTTAGAAACTCTCGCATTCCTCTGATCTAAAGTCACAATTTCCTTTGAATGCATAGAATACATTCAAATCTTCATGATTGTCTTTGAAGTACTAAACTCTATTTACGAACATCTTATTTTAATACCTTGTTCTGTTTTTTATAAAGGTTGTAGATCGCGCCGATTTCCGTGTCGGTGTTGAGATAGATGGTCTGGTACATCAAGTCTACGTTCTCAAACGACCATTTGTGGACGAATTTCTTCAGGCTATGGCCGAAATCTATGAGTGCATCCTCTTTACAGCCAGTTTAGCCAAGGTAACTTAAGATTTTAAGATGAGTGCACCTATTTATACGAATAATTTTAATTGTGCTCTAGTAGTACAACAATTGATTTATATTTACTTGTAACAGAGCTAAAATGTGCTTTTGGCCTTCATTTGCAACTTAGTGGCCTCCCACTTTTATTTGACTCAATTTGTATTGCTTCTCGTTTCCTCACAGGTGCTTTACTCAACCTTGCTTGTGATGGGCGTTTTCATATAGTACGGTGTATAATTGGATCTTAGAGCTTCGGAATATGTAACTATTTAGATATCTTTTGATTAAAGCTTGGCTTCGCTCTTGCAACGTATTCATGCCTTCAGAGAGACTTT